CGCCGGCCCGCCGCCGGCATTGTCGACTTGAGTGACGCCGGGCTCCGCACCGGACTGACGACAAAGCGGGGCGGCCCGCTGAACCGCCGCTTCCGCCGGGAGGAGCCGGGTCGAGACAGGCCTCGGCGGCCGGCCGCCGCCGCCGGCAGGCAGGTGGTGAGTGGGTGCAGGACGAGGCACAGGCACCCTTGGTAGGGTCTGCGCCCCATCCTGTTGACGATGTGTGGGACTTCGTGTCCCTTCGCGGTGCCCACCCACCACTCCAGCCCCTTAACTGTCTCTCTCGGCCCGAAATGACGTTTGTTTGTATATATTTGGACTTCGTGCTCTAATTATAAATGTTATGAAGCACTGCCCTGGGTCGAACATTGGTGAACAAAAGCTGCTATCACCTGATCGCTGTCAAGTGTAACCCATTTGACGGCAAAGTGGGCGATTGCGTGGTTGAGGGCTGGATTGTGTGCATGGCGAGGGTACATGATCACTGATGCAACCCAGCACCGACCCAGTAGGCCCGTGCGAGGTCAGCACGACATTCTGTTCAGCGGTGCCACGGGTGCCCATACATCAGCGGACAGCGCGGCTGGACCCTCTGCTGCAGTCCAACAGCTGCGGGAGTATGCAGCTTGACAGCATAACGCCGTCGACCTCGCGGTATGCATAACATAACACCGCATGCATAACATGCGCACCACATCCCCGCACGGCATCCGGAGCCGGCGGCCGCGGTCCGGCCCAGCCCAGCGCGCCGCGGAGCCGGGCGCTGACCTGGTGGGCGGGGCGTTCCACGGGCTCCGGCGCCGCCCGGCCTCAGCCCCCGGCTGCTGGGCCCGGGCGATTGACGATCCCGGCGGACCTGAGTCAGAGCCTGGCACGCCCATGCAAATCTAATCGGACGGGGACCTTGGACTGATGACGGCTGGGGCTGGACGTCCTTCTCTCACTCTGGGCGAACGCCGGGCACGGGTCCCGGGCTACCGAGTGCTGAAGGCGAGCAGTGGCAGGAAATCAATGGAGAATGGAAACAGGGGCTTATATCGTGGTGCTTATAGACATTGCATTACTTGGCTTTGCAGTGCGTTACGACGACGCAGGTGCTCGAAGTGAAGAGCTTAACGCCACCTAATATATCAAAAGACACACACACACACACACACACACACACACACACACACACACACACACACACACACACACACACACACACACACACACACACACACACACACACACACACACACACACACACACACACACACACACACACACACACACACACACACACTTCTGAACGCTTTTGGGGTAAAAAATATAGGCGTTGGAGCTTCTGGTTTGGCTAGAACCCGATAAGCAATACAGATCATTGTTGATAAAGGAAATTACTCCCTAGACGACAGCTTGTTTTTATGACACGCCGAGAACAAATAACGACAGTGCTAAATTACAAAAGTGAAACAAACACTGATAAGACAAAGGATACAACTATTTGTGCCGAGCTGAGTGTAGCGTTTAGTTTTCTAGCTTTGTTGATTTCGTCGTTTTTTGGGAATTGATCGAGGGCCATTCGTTAGAGTTAGATGGCTTAACTGCCTCAGACGAAAGCCCTGCTCCCGGTGGTCTCATTTGTCAACAAGCCTTTATCCTTCCGTCGCCTCCGCGACAAGATATTGTGGAGGCGGTGTAAACAATGCCAGCAATCTCACACTTCCCGCGGCTGCCGTCGCTCCGTGATGGGCGCCACGTAAGCGGACGCCTATTCAAACCAGCTTAAGTTCTGCCAGACAAAACATCAGGGGGAAATTATTGTGATTCATGCGAAACAAATTATGTTGCTGCTTCGCAAGCGGCTTCGGCCATTTCCGTATGCTCCTTTCTCTTCACCACCCCACTCTGCCTTTCAGCGACCCAGGCTTAACACTCTCGTCTATGCAATTTATCTTGTCATGAAACTTTTTCTGAGATTGACCGTACAATATCATGATTGCCTCCACTGTCATGGCCTATCTGGCGAGAGCCAGCGGGCTTCACCCCAGAGACAGAGGCATGCGCGCAGAAGTCGGACAAAGCTTTTAAAAACGAGGCCTATCACAGACCCAAGCTCCATGTGCCATGGCATGCAACCGTGCCAACACGCAAAACCATGGCGTGCAACCGTACCAACACGCAAAACCATGGCGTGCAGCCGTGCCAACACGCAAAACCTCTTTCCTTGGTTAAACTGGCACATTTGTAGCCCCGAAAGAATTGTTTAGGACAATTCATTGAAAAGTCATGGATGATTGATACACGCCGTCATCATGGCGGAGCCCGGTGACGCTGTCCTTGAAAATCTTTTGCCGGCAGTGACGGGTATTTTTCCAGACTCGACTCGCGAGGGAGTTGTTGCCTAGAGAGCTTTTGCGTCACCTCGATCTTCGTAAGCAACCGTTGGATGACACGGACTTACCGGTAATAGCACCAGCGCTTCAGCTTTTAAAAGGAAAAATGCATGGGTTGTTGATGCGTCGCTGGTGACGACACTGGACAGGTAGCGTGATATATGTCTTGCTTGTTCCGAAAAAAATCGGCTGTAAACCGATGACTTGGAGCTGTAAATAGCTATGAGAGTGCGTGATTTAACGCATTAGACACCAACACTGACAATCAGATCCATTGCTGTACTCTAGCTCCCGGTTTAATACAGCTCCGTTGAAAGGGTTGAGGTGAACGGCGGTCATACCAGGTCACGGGGTCACGTTACCCCTGAAGGTACTTTCATGACGCCATATGTATGCTCATGGGTTTCATTTGCATATAGAGCTGAACGAAGCTGAACAAACATCTAGCCTCTAGCAGCAGAAGCAGAAACATGCCACAGTCGGCTGAGGCAATATAACCAATCAAAAACTTCACCATACCATAACCAAGGATGGCTTCAGCTCCACCTCATGCAAGCTATCCTGAGTGCTTTCTAAGTATGGTGCATATTTTGAGCCCCTGATTCACACGCTTTGTCTGTTGGTGCAGAGATGGGGGAGGTGCACCAGAGCGCGCATTGGTGATGCCCTCAACACTACTATAAAGAAGTGGCTACACCACGGCAAGCAGAAAATCCATGGATAGCGACGTCAAATATATTCACAGCGGAGTGCCAAATGTCCGCATTCTCACTGTTCACAAACTTTAGAACACTTTTATAGCCTTTCCTGCCCTCAAGCGATGAGCAGCTGAAAGTTTCCGTTCAGATGCAAATTGACTTTGAACTACAAGGCGTACACTTTAATTTTCTCACCACAGTTCGGCAGATAGTGCGAAAAATCGGAGGATGCCAGCGCCAGCGCTCACGCGGTTGGCGCCGCAGAGCGCCAATATTTCATTGGGTTGACCGCCTCTCCGAGAACTTGGCGTTTCATCCGCGAAACCCTGAACGAACAGCCTTGTGCGATACCCTTTAAGTGTTAAGGCTTCCGCGCCTTTGACCTATAGTCATGCAACTTGGAAGGAGGTGTATTTACTGAGCTCGTCAGCGGCTCCAAAACGCTTAGACATGCAAATTTAAATGAAGTAGTCTTATTCAGTGAGGCCACAGATATCCCGTGAGAGACCATTAAGTGTCATGGCCTTCAGGCGAAGATATACTGGAAAATAGCAAAGATCCAGAATATCGCATTCTTCGCCCGGCAGGGCTGTTCGATTATTTCGTCTCACGTAAGTTGAAACATATGTATGGCTTCTCTATAAATGCTGAGCAGAAACATTGTTCTTCATTCCCTAGTTCAGGAACGTGACAAAGGAACAATATTGTGTCCAATAAAAGCACAAATGATGGGCGTCATAAAAAACACAGTCCTTTTCGCGAATTACCGGTTACTGACAAACAAGCACGTCATCAGGCCAAGCCAAGATATTAAGCAGCTATGAAAATAGCGTAAATATTGAAAAATGATAAGCTTCAAGCACCTCCTCTCAAATGTACTGCTAACCCGAGCTCAATTTCATCATATACGTACACATACGACATATCACTGTCCTGTAAGTGAAGAATATTAAGGAACATAGCTTAATCCACTCTACCGGAAGAATCAGGATGTTCCTTAGATAAACTTGTGTTACAGGTATCTGGGGTTGAAATGTTACGACAATAAAATACATACCATCTTATTCTACAATGGCTTATTCCGATGAAAATTTGGATCTCCTTACGAAAAGCCTGAGTGCGAGCGTGCACGTGTCTTTTAACTGCTTGCATGCCTACAATAATTTTGCCCGTTTCCATTCATTGCTCTTTTTCTGACGATATGCAAAGCAGTTTCATAATCATGCTACCTACAAAGCAAACACATTGAAATGGCTGTTGAAAGCTCACGCAGGTATTAAGCGATGTATCTCATGAAACAGTTGAATAGCAGCCGCCCGCGCTGTTCAAATGAAACAATGTTTATATGGTTATGGCATATTGTATGCCATTCGGCTTATTTTTTGTTTGCGAAGCAATGCATCATTCACCTTCTTGATAAGTGGACTGAGCGTAATTCACCCAAACACGATCCAGACAATAACCAGCTCATAAATAAAAAACCAACAATGCATCCAGTGCATCGCTATGTGAATGCCGTGAAGCGGGAGACAACAATAACTGGCCCCAAGGGACAAGACGCGCCATGATCTCAAGTTGCCCAGCCAAAGAGACTATTCGCCGGCAGACGGGCAGCGGCAGACCTCAGGCATAACGAGACGACGCACGTCCAACAACGTTTGACCTACACAACGAATGTCCGACGACATTTGACCTACACTACGAATGTCCGACGACATTTGACCTACGCGACGAATGTCTGACGACATTTGACCTACACGACGAATATCCGGCGGCAATTGACCTATGCAACGAATGTCCGACGACGTTTGACCTATCCAACGAATGTCCGACAACGTTTGACATAGGCGACGAATGTCCGACGACATTTGACCTACGCGACGAATGTCCGACGATGTATGACCCACACCGCGCTCCGACCTACCTGTGACTGTGACAAACCCGGTGAGCAGGAGCACGGTCCAGCAACGCGCGGAGCCCATCCCGAACATGCCAGCCCTGAGGCGGGACCCTCACGCCCTCGGCGGTCCCCTCAGCGTCCACACATCGCGGCGGCACGGGCAACGCTTCCCGCTCGCTGAGGTCCGCCCTGTACGCGCCGTCCACTCTGTCCACTTAGCGCCGTGGGCCCGGCATCGCCGACAGACGTCCACCCGTCCACATGCTCCCCCGCGTGCGGTCCACCCGCCTGCAACCCCACCGTCGCGCCGTGAACGACTGACCGCGGAGTCGAGCGCGTCGGTGCCGCCGAGCGCGGCAGCGCCTCTGGCGGCGAGATGTGCAACTAGCTGATGGCGGCTCATTTGCATGCGCGGCAGCCTGCCGTTGGAACTGGGTAAGTGCGGCTGGCGACCGGACCGCGGCCCACCCGACGCTCTGAGAAGGCCGTGGTCTCGTGACCACCGGTTAGGCGCACCTCCGCAAGCAGTGCACGAGACATAGCCTTGCTCCGATGACGCCAGGGGGCACGACCGTCTAACGACACGACTGCCAGCGACAATCAATGGTTGTGGAGGCCCCCGACTCGATCCGGCGCAGGAGGCCCGGCTGCGGCAGAGGGGGCGTGGAGCTGTGCTACGGGCGCCGCGAAGGCGTCTTTCTGTGATTCCCTCACGGCAGGCGTCAGAGAGCTACTGCTGGAGCCAAAGTTCTTTCAAACGAACAGGTCTGCGGATAACGTAGCGCGCACGCGAAACTCCCAGGGAATGTGGCGCTGGGCGTGTCCCGGCGACAAGCCACTAAAATGAGTCTCCTGCGCTGTTGAGTTGCCAGAACTCGACATGCTTGAAAGCAGCGCTGCTGCGGTGTGGACGTCACGGGCCTCCCTCAACAACAGCAATTTACCTGCTCATTCAGCAGTCGCGGAGTTGAACCGAGCCGCTGGGCTTCTCGCTAGCGTCCTGTCTCTCGTTGCAGGACATGCAGAGGTCTTCGACACTTTAGATCGTGAAAACCCCTGGGGACCCGACCATAAGTTATGCTGCGCATTTCGCTACTCATGGTGACGCACTGATTGCGCTCCGATAAACCAATCCCTCTTCCTGATGACGGTCTAGTTGTGCTGGCCAAGACCCATTCTATCCCTGGTTACGGTGTGCTAAGCGTTACAAAGGGGAAACGTCCTTTCCGTCCCTTCTTGACCTAGAGGTGTGAAACTAAGACGGGCATATTTCTTCTCATGAGATAAAGTGAACGTTACCCGGCTTTTACGTTTAAAACATTTAAAAAGACCGGCATTATTTTAAACCATCTCTGAGCGTGACGTAAAAGCTACATCGCAGCAACGATGCCTGCTATGCTGTCCAGCCCCCCCCCCCCCCCCCACACCCGTTCCCTTTGTTATGCTTCGTTTACTCCATCAAAGTTTCGACCCCTCACTGGGTGACGTGCTGTGTGGACGGCCCATGCTTATGAATATCCCTTATCAGGAAGTATAATTGTAGGAAACCGGAGACAGGTTCCGGTTCTAACGAATTCTGGTACAAAGTGCATTGCAGACGTCACGTGGTTTACTCAACAGTAACGTTTTGCCGGCTCATTCCAAAATATCAGCGGTACGTGCGCGGTCCGGGGCGCTCTGGACATGTTGCCAGCGCTGTCTATCAGCAGTAAAGCACTTCAAGATATTCTAAACCTTTCAGACCTTGAAAACCCTGGCAATTGACATATCCATCGGACAAGTACTCGCCGGATCCCGGTAGATCCCGGTAGATTACGGGTCTACCGGAGCCCGTCTCAAATTGCGTTACGAAAAAAATGTGCTCAGAGTCGAGTAGAATTCACCCAACTATTTACTAGGCCAGTGAATCGAGCATAAATCTTGAGAAAATGCAGCTGAGTCAGGCACAAGTCTGCCTTCTGTCTGTACAACTGACGGCGCTTGTCTTTACCGGATGAAAAATGTGAAATAATGGAAGGAATATTGGGAAACCAGACATTTTTAACAAACATCACTCAGCTCCAGGGTGGGGATGGAGCTTTGTCACACAGACATCTGGTCGTTGTTCGGCTGAAAGTGCTCGAAGCTTGGACTGCTGTCACCCCGCCCCATCTCTGGCCCTCCACCAAACAAAGGCCCAGAAGTCATCTCAGCAGCTGTTTACCTCCCGAAGTCTGCGGGGAGTCGAAAACACCACGGCGCCCGGTCCGCCGACCGCCCTGCAGTGGTGCGAAGTTGGGCGGGACTCCTGACAGGTTAGCTCTGATCCCCGCTGCTTCAACAAGCCCACTCCAATCTCTTCAGTCTTCCGGTAATAGCGCACGATCTCACCAGAGATGCGAAGATTTCGCTATCGCCGCACCAGCTTGCTGGTGCTGAATCAATACCATAGTTGGCATGTGCATTTATAGTTGCATGCGGCCGTACGCATGCTGCGTGGATTGGTGCCCGGACTGACAGCTGCCGAGACTGTGTCGGTGCCCACCAACAAAAGGCCTCCCTTCTGAGCATGCTGGCAGCCGGTGCCCGCACCCGCACCAGCCAAACCCTGCCGGCTCGAGCCGATGCCTGCCCGGCGCCGGTGCGAGACTGAGACAGAACGCTGCACGTCCACCGGTCGCCGTGCTGTACGCCAGACGTGGGCAGGGCGACTCCAGGCCGGACGGGGCGGTCCGGCCCGACTGGCGTCACATGACTCCCCGAGCTGTGTACCTGTGCGGGGAAGGGCGGACGGGATGCTGGTCCAGCACTTAACCAACTGAATTTTTAGGATACGGCTCAGGTCAGCCCGAGTGGCCCAGATTCGATCCAACCGCGGATCCGTTTTTCCAGATTTCTCAATCCAGTCCAGTCCAGTACGACTTACCAGAATGTTTTCTCAAGTGAACTCGTACCCATCCGCTTCCACATTAAGCATTTTTAAAAAGTTTAGCAGCAAGCAAATTTGGCTCGTTTGAGTACTTTAAATCTTAATTATCCTGTGAATTTCCATTATCAAAAACTATGCGGAAAGCTGCCATGAACCAATCGGCGGTAAGATATTTATCACAGCTTGTTACCTGTTGGGCAAGTAATTTTGCATGAACATCAGAAAAGACAAGGCCTATCATGTTGTACCACCACCACATTATATCAAGTGCCACCACATTGCAGGAGCCAAAATCGCTTCTGGTGTCAATAACCTGACGACATGAGGACATTATTTTACAATTTCAGACTCAAAGGTAGGTGCAGCGTGTCTCCATGTGCCACTCGACAACGTCAGCAGTGCCCAGTTCACAAGCGCAGAGCGATGTCCATCTAGTGCGCCTTCTGAATGAGTTTCACCATTTCACCTCAAAGGTGGCAATTCATGCTTGTATCCGCTCCCGAACACCAACTGATGAAACAACCTCACCTGCGACCACGATTTCCTGCTAGGTTATCCTGCTGTGTCAAAATTACAACCAACGCGTGCGACTGTTCCCTGGTGGGTGCCCGCGGTACCACCTCTTCCATCAAGGAGAATGAAACAGTTAAACGGTCGTTTTTAACCCCCATTGCTAAAAACCATGTGCTACCAGATCTCCCTTTTCCTTATGAGGGGAAAATGCAAAAGCTATTTGATTTATAATCATGCACGCTGCAGCTGCATTAAGTCACATTTACGGGGTTAGAAATAAATGTTTCTAGCTATATTGACAAGGTTACGTCATTTCGCATCGGTTTTTGTTGTTTCAGCATGCTAGCAGAGTTACCATAAATACTTTGCTAGATGGCGTAGCATTTTAGTCAATATATTTTGCGTCTCCCGTACGTCGTGAGTGCCACAGGTACAAATATAAAAACCTCCCGCATTAACAAAACATAGTCATCGTCCACATTTCTACCGCGCGTTGCAATGCTCATCAGCTGACGTTTTTAAGACAGCTGAGATACGCTCAGATGTCGCTCAGATCCGCCATGCCCCGTCTAGATATTCCGTGTTCCCGACTTGGTGCCGGTATTATCCCCAACCCGACGCAAATAGCCCCTGTCAGGATGTCTTTCTCCGAAACTCTAGCAGCTTTGTGCGAGCTGCTGTCATCGATCGCCCATATATCGGAACCTGACGACAACAGAAACTAGTGCGCTTCTCTAGTGTTAAAAGCAGTACGCTCAACGCAGCGTTTTGGGCTCTATGTAAGTGAATTTCTGATACATTCGCCATAGTGCGCCCATACCAGACATGTACCGGCACGCACTTCCCGATTTACAGCAGGTAAACGTTCTAATTTAAAGTGCAAAGAGACTAAAGAAAACAATGCGTTTCCAGGATCAAGCGAACAATATCAGAAATTTAATTTCAGCTGTCATGGATCACGAGCCTGCGCGAGTTTCATCGAATTGACAACAACATAATACGGCGGGAAGGGCCTTGTGTTTGTTCAGGAATCAGGTCAGTGACGTCACAGCACCTCAATGGCGAGCTCCACGTTAGTTTTGGCTTTACTGCTCGCAAACAAGCCCTGAATGTGGGTGGCGCTGAGAGCTGAGGCAATATATGGTACGGGCCTGTGAGCGACTAGCTGGGGCTGGAAACCGAGAATTTCCATTCGGAACAAATAACGGCCAGCCGACTGGTACGAACCCCGCGTTCATAACCTGCAGAGAGCCACGAAACGCAGCGAAGATAAGAAATGCCTGAAGGAGTACCACCATCTTGTTCTCTTCAAATGCGACTGTTTGACAATACATGGCAATATAGATGTAGGTGAAAAATAATGGTAACTTAACCCTCGGCGTGATTCGCCCTTTTTCATGACACGAACTGAAAGCGTAAGGGTGGGGGGAGGGGCGGGCAGCATCCACTTTTGTTGGAACACCCAGCGAATCGGTTTTAGTGGGATCTCGCAACGGCGACAAGTTGTATGTTGCTATGTTCATGATCGGCCCATTCTACCAGGTCAAAGGTCAATTTCTCCCGAGAATCGTACTTCTTCGGTCAAACATGCCCATATTTATGAAACCATGCACCTCGCGGCACGAGAATTGCAGGGGCATGTTTTTCGTTAACTTTCAAGCGCATTTGCTGATATAGCGCGGGTGGATTATTTGCAACACGAAAATCGCAACTCTCTACCCGAAACGCCAAGATTCGAGGCAGTGCCATGCGTATATCAACCTCCAACACGTTTCAAAGCGTTGGTCACGATATTTTTCAAGGCAATCATTTCGAAGGCTCATTCAGTCACCCGTGTAACCTACTATGTCCCAGTTATCGATATGTTTCTGG